TGGTTAGGCTGAAAATTATCAATTTGATCCAAAAAGGTTTTGACTATCCACAGAGGTTCAAATTATTTATTTTGTTGTGAGTTTTGAACTTTATTATAATGATGATTTTACCCTTATTTTTTTTACTTTTCAGTTTTATTATTAATTTATTAATTTTTTTATTAAAATAAAAAAAAACAATCTCTCTCTCTCTCTCTCTGAGAATAAAACACACACACACACAAACACTTCACAAAAACTTCACAAAAATCTACACATACCTTCAAAATCCCAACATTTTCAAAGAGATCAGGTGAGATCTAGTGAAGAATAAAGGGATTAAATATGAACCACCTACATCGTCACCAAAAAAATATAATAGATGCGCTTTAATTCCTTTTTACAGATGAAGGTGAATACAAAAGATGGAACTTATGGGTTCCACTTGTGTACCATTTTCCCCACAAGTATCCTCCTCATCCTCCTCCTCTTCCATTCTATATCTCTTCTCTCTCACAAACACACATACACACATACATATACATAATAAAAGATGCTCAAGAAGAAAACCCACATTTCCTTACTGTAACACTCGATTTAGGTGTGTTTCCTTTTGACCTTTATATTTAATTTATTGTAATTTAGTCCTTGGAGTTAGTACGCGGGGCATACCATTAGATACACTTAACGTACTATGGAGGGCACCTGATCGCGGAGTAGAAGTGATATGTGTATTTTTATATATATATTTATGTATAACATATCTTAATATTTTTGCATTTATTATTATTATTTAGAACTAAAATAAACTTAATATGCTTTGAAATATTTAATTACAGTTAAAATGGGAGATGGAATGCAAAAGAAAGAGAATGGAGCTGAAAAGATGCAAAAAGGATATTGCTGGCAGATTGACCCATCTTCAGTGTTTCGGGTATATCTGATGACTTATAAGTCCAATTGACGAGGTTTAAACTGTTCTGAAAACTAGACAAAATTTCCTACGACTTATGTGAGAGGGACTTTTGGCTAATTCGACACTTATCTTATCCAAAATCGGCTTTGAAGATGAAGCATAAAAGCTGGACGGAAATTCCCTCCAAGTTACTTATTCCCCAAGCTCCACTTATCTTATTTTTATTTGCTTATTCCCTAAGCCACCATTAGTTTCCTTATTCCAATCCAACTCTAATATTCCATATAAATTCCATCTCCATCAACTATAAATACCCCATATCATTCCACCAATTTGAAGAATCTATGATATTCCACTTCGACTTGTGCAACAAGAAAACTTCATAGTTGCCGTTTTGAGGGTCTAGGTTGGTGGCCGGAAGGCCGTTAAGCTAATGGGAGCAGAGATCGGAAGGGTTGGAGAGCGGATACATGTCGGTAATCATATGGGTTGTTAACGTGACCATGTTTAGCATTCCATTGTGTTGCTATTATGTATTTAGTTTCTGATTTAGGTGTAATAACCTTTTACTTTGTGTTTATGATTGAATGAAACTTTGATTATTAGACTAATTTCTATATTGAATCGTTTGTTTGTGTTTAATTTATCTTGTCAAGCTTGTTAAAAGATCCTTACGTATTAATGATAATTATTTGCTGTTAATTGTTAAGTGAATTGAGTTGTATGAACATATGCTTGATTGCTTGTCTCTTCTGATTTTGGTGACCATCGAGATTATAAGTCTAGGAATAACGAATGTGAAACTAGGATTAACTTGAGAATAAGTAAGTTAATGTGTGAGCCTTGTTTGATGACCATCAACAAGAGGTTAATTGAATGTCTAATTTGATTAACTATATTTGCAAGTCTTGCTTGATACGAACTAAACACTAGGAAACATGTTAGTTTAATCAACTGATCACTGTTTGAATTAACTTGTTTGCTAAAGGATTAGTTATAGTGAACGTGAATCTAATCATTTTAGGAATCGGTGAACATGAATAAATGAATTTGTGTATGCAATTGTCTATGTTTTTAAAGTGTAATTTGTCTAAACCAAAGTACCTGACGAGATTTGCTTTCCTGTTAGTTTATCGAGAGTTGTTAATTAATTGTTCGTTTGAGATTTATTAAACTACTTCTTTATTCTTTCCGTGTGACTTGTAACCTATAATTAAATATTTTAAATTAATTCACCACCGTTCCCTGTGATCGACACCCGACTTACCTAAGTTATACTGTAATATGACTAGGTACACTGCCTATAAGTGCATAGTTAGTCTAAGTTTGTTAGGTTATAAATATTAAAATTAGTGGGTACTTTTGTGCACATCAAGTTTTTGGCACCATTGCCGGGGAACGACTTTCAATTAATTTAGTTTATTTGATTATTCGTTATTTGTTTTTAGTTAGTTTTTTATTTTATTTTTTTTAGTTTTATTTTCGTTGACATCATTTCACTTGTCGGGAAGGTTTTTGTTGTTACGTGCAGGAATTTGTGATCATACACATTGTTTGGTTTTACTTTTTGCATGGGTTTCGAGATTGCAAGCGATTAGGGAATTCTTGACTTGTTTAGTCTAATACTTTGGGTGATTTGTCCAACTCAATCCACGAGGCGTAGTATAGCAAGGCGTGTCGAGGTGGTTAAGTTGAAGACTGAACTCTTGCTACTCTTGACTAGTTGGGTCAACTCTTGTTCTACTTATTAGTTAATGGTGCAAAGAAAACAAAGGAAATAGTCTGACAGGTCCCGAAAGTTTTTGTTTTCGCAAACCACCTCTTGCATGCAAGGGATTTAATCAACAATTGTAGTTTGATTTTGACGAGGACATGTGATCGTGATATCCTTTTTAGTTATTTTGGTTTTTTAGTTATTTTAGTGAGTTTTTATTTTTATTTTTAGTTTGTTTAAAATTTGTTTTCCATGTTGATGCTCTTGATGTTTCAGATCTTTGCAGAACTTTTACTCTTCAGATGCTTTCAGAAATTTCAATAATTGGGGTCGAATGTTGATTTGTCACGAGAGAAAAAACCGTGTGAGGGTTTGAAGTTGACGCTTGAGAGCCATGACTTTCAATAAGTGTGGGGTGCGCGTCGATATTTGGAGGGATTATTATTTCAAAGAGTGGCGTTTCTAACTATACATTAATTCCCATGGCATGGATGAGTTGTTCCCACACCATGGAGTTTTATTTTGACGCGATGTAGAAGTATCATCCCGGCTGCCATGACATGGTTGACACTTTCCTATGTCGTGGGGGAGTTTTTCATCGCGAGAGGAGGCTGCTATTCTACATACCACGACGTGACCACCACTTACCACGTCGTGGCCATGCTATTATTTGCGGTATGGATTTTTCCTCACTCGACGACACAATGTGGTTCACACTTTCCTACGTCATGGTCACTATACATTGCTTTAGTTTGCAATCGTTCGCACCATATTTCATAAATCAATGTTCTTTTGTATTTTCCGGCACATTCAGAAGCAGCAGTTTCAGTTTTCAGTTTTTTAGCAATATTTGAAGCAACCTGTAGCAGCCCCATTCGATTTCGCCACAACGACCCAGGGGAGTCTGTTCCTTTTTCTCCCTTTTTATGTTCTTAATTTGTTTTAGCATACAATGGGGGCATTGTATGAAATAAGTGTGGGGTAGGGGTCGGTAAAAGTAAATTATA